GTATAACAACTTATATTACTAATATATCTTATTTATAAGTTCATAATAACGATTATAAACATAAATATAAGTTGTACTCAAAGTACAGTAAGCATAACTCAACTTACATGTTTTTTAACGAAAAACTGGACATTGCGCAGGTAGAATTTTGAAATTAAAAACTCTATTTCTCTGGGGCTTTAGAACGCTCCGGAGCTTTGCTACTAACACCTAAGAAGTACTAAAATCGGGCCTCGGGGGTTCAAGAGAGTTTGGGAGAGGTTTGAAAGGAATCGAGCAATAAAACGAACCAATATATAGGAATTCTCAAGGGCCGCGCCGCGCCTGGACACGTGTCGCGATCTGGGCTCAAGCCATGGAGAGGACGGGTGGAATAGGATGGTGCCACTTGTCGGTCAACTTAGGTGCCACATGGCGAAATCTCGTCTGTCAAAATTTGTATTTTTCTAAAATTCATAACTTTCACATACATAATCCATCTTTAGATGGTTTTTATATCTACGCGTAGCTATCGATGTGTACTACAACTTTCATTTAGACTTCTTTGGCTAATTCCCAATTTATTTTTCGTTTTACAGTCCGAGAAGGCTTAGACTGTAAATAATGCTATAAAATTCATAACTTCTTCATACGAGCTTCATTTTCGGCGTTGTTTATATCGTCGGTTTCATATTGAAGAGTACTACAACATTCATTTAGATTGTTTCGGCGAACAATCAACCGATTTTTATTGCGATTTTTGTGTCGCTCACCGTTGCTTTGTGTCGCACTCGAAACTTTGAAAAATCATAACTTTCTCATACAAATTCAGATTTAGGTATTCTTTATATGCATGTATTCCTATTTACAATTACTACGACTTTTGCTTAGATCACTAAAGATAATAAGCAACATATCTCTGATTCACTTTTTATGACACATGTTGTCGTATCAAATTGAACGCATAACTTAGATAAATCATAACTTCCTCATACGAAGTCAACTGTAGACGTTCTGTACATATATGGAATTTTCATTACGTCTACTACAACTTTCTTTAAGATTATTTATCATAAATAATCTTTTATTTTTAATTTTATCGTTTAACAATAAATTTTATATTAAAGTTTTCTACAAATATTATATACTCCTAATATTTGTCCACATAACGTGTATATGAGAAATGTTCATTAGCTCGTAACACATATGAATAAAAATTACTTTAATCAATGACTTTAATCGTCCAATAAAATATGTAATTATTATTATTATACTCTAAACGTCTAGCTCAAATTTACAGGCGTTAAAGAAGCATTAAAAAAATAATGGAATTTTAGAGCATGTGTAAAGATAGAACAATGTCGTTACAAACATCTTAAATATATGAAATCGGGTACCTAGGTCTCTAGTGGCTACACAAGTCTCAAACATATCCTAAAATTGATGCACATGATCAACGATCATATGATAAAAAATTAATTTGAAACAAGAAGATTTATGGGACATGTGCTTATAGGTTATAAACTCATCTCAATGATCTTTCTTACATTACATCTCATCGCCTTGGAAGGTGATTGATTAACCTATAAGTCATAATAATCAAATATAAGACCTATAAAACTATTACACCATACACTTTTAAAATTTTCATTACTAATGAATTTAGGAAAACTAAGTAATCTGACATATATAAATAATTTTTTTTCTTTTAAAATAATCAATTTTCAGCTTTTTAAAAATTATTAATTTTCTTCTAAATATCTCGTTCTGGACAACTTTTCAAAAATAATTGAAAAGAATGCTCCATTCCGAGTTTGAGCTTCGAATTCTAGAGTTAGTTTTTGATTTTTTTTTTTTTTTTTTTTTTGCAATTTTTTTGAAAGAAATGTCTTTACTTATGTCTTAAATTTCCATTTCAAAGTGTTTAATATCACAATTTTTCAATAAAATGTCTGCTTTTATGCACTAATATCGCATATAGTTAACATTATTATGTTTGTTTTACGTTTTGTTTGATTGAAGTGAAAAACGATTTTTTTTTTTAATTTCGAATTATTCTTCGAATTTCAGATATGTTCTTGAAACTCTTGAGGCTTTTTTCTTGAAATCCAAAATTTCAATCTAGAATCCGAAATGGCAAGCCAAATTGTATTTTTTATCAAATAAATAGTTGAATGACATTCCACATCAAATTATTTTTGCTAAAAACAAAATTTTATATTATTTTATCAGATAAACATTAAATTGTAGTTAGATTACTTAATTTTCCATGAATTTATATACCTATGCATTTTAATTGCATAGTTTTACCACCTAATGTGCACATGTGTGCACTTATTTTGTATAGTTGTACCAATAAACCAAAAAGGCTCAAAAACTATATGTGTTGTTTTAACAACGTTGTTCACAATTGGACACTTTTCTTTATCTTAAGCACATATTCACCTTATGCATGTGAAATGACAAATATAGGTGCTCAAACATTTTTATGAAAACTTAAGGTCATTTAAACATCCATAATCATCTAAAAGAACACAACTTTTGGTGAGTTTTAATAATTAGAATCGATTCAAAACATCAAAAACTCAATTACTCCATCAATAAACTTCATTAAGATCATCCAAAGCTCCATTTCATCCGAATGAGTCCATTTCAATGGTTTTATCCCAATAGAATTGACTTTTGGTGTTAGAAACCTTTTCCTACTGTCCTAGTATCTTAGTGACATCAATACATCAATTAATTTCAAATGAAAGGGGTAAAATTCATGATTCACCATTGATGAAGCTTCAAACTCATCAAAAGCTTCACTTTCAACCAACTGGCAGTTTTAGTTGATTCCCTTAGGTTGATATATTTCAAAAAGTATCAAAGCCTATATTCTAACACTTGGATATATATTAGAAATCTTCAAATTAAAGTTTTGAAAACAAGAATGCAAAACAAAATAACCAAAACAACTCTTTAATTAATTGGAAAATCACTCAAAACCAATGTTTTTACATTCTGTTCTCATAATCATAAACTCGATTATAGATAGGTATATATATAGCCTAACAAACCAACTTGTATTAGACTAGGAAACTTATGACCAACTTGCCATAAACTAAATTTTCCATAAATTAGATTGCTTGGTCTCCAATTCCTCATCGACTTAGGATTCCAACAATCACCCCCGAATCTCTAAGTCCTTCTAGAGAATTCTTCAACCCGATCCGTATTTAAAAAACGGATTCGTCACTGTCGTCACGTTCCGAAAAATCACCGTCTTTTAATTTTTGGAGTCGTTCCGGACATTCAGAAGCAAAGTGACCCGGTTTGTCACACCGAAAACAAATCACCTTAAATCGATCCTTTTCCCTATTTTTCCGATTCTTCCCACAACAACAATTACAATTTTTGCAATCAGAATTAGAATTGGACAGTTTATTGGGCCGACTGCTTTGAGAAACCCTATTATTCCCTTTGGGCCCGCCTGATCCGCCCGACCTGGATAACCCACTATATCCGGATCCACTTGACCCATTAGTCCCATTAAACTCATTTGCTTTATTAGACCCAATCGATCCTTTCCAATTTCCCTTCGTTCCCGATGAGTTACCCCCACCAGTCGACGACCCACCTCCATCTCCGGTCGATTTTTCGGCAAATAGAACCCTCGATTGTCCTTCTCTAGCATCGACTTCCCTTATTCTTTCTTCATATGCCTTCAATCGACCCACTACGTCTTCAAACCCTACCGATTTTAAATCTAGTACCTGTTCAAGAGATGCAACGATGTGAATGAAGTTTCTGGGTAATGATTTGAGGAATTTCTTCACTAATTTTGATTCCTCAATCGTTTCTCCTAATGCCGACGATGTAGACGCGATTCCGGACAGCTTTCCGGCAAAGTTATCGATTGTTTCCGACTCGAGCATCTTCAGGCGATCGAATTCCGACATCAAGGTTTGTAATCTCGCTTCTTTGACTCTATCTGCGCCCACATTACATGCTCTAATCGCATCCCATAATTTCTTGGCTGAATCCTGATCTCCAATCTGCATTATGAGGTTTTCTGGTAGGGCTTGATATAGCAAACCCATGGCAAGGCAGTCCTTTTCTTAATTTGACATCGGTTCCTGGATCAATCACAGTCCAGGCTTTGTGGATGCGTAAGACAACCTTCATACGCATTGCCCACACGGTATAGTTAGTGGATGTGAGCATCGGACACAAAACTGAGGTTGTCCCAACCTCCTTCACTCTCACCGGAGCTTCTCCTTCTCCCCCTATATCTGTCATGTTGACCTGACTCGTCAACAGGTACAAATCGATCTCACAGCTTCTCAACCTAAGCTCTGATACCAATTAAAGTTTTGAAAACAATAATGCAAAACAAAATAACCTAAACAACTCTTTAATTAATTGGAAAATCACTCAAAACCAATGTTTTTACATTCTGTTCTCATAATCATAAACTCGATTATAGATAGGTATATATATATATATAGCCTAACAAACCAATTTGTATTAGACTAGGAAACTTATGACCAACTTGCCATAAACTAAACTTTCCATAAATTAGATTGCTTGGTCTCCAAGTCCTCATCGATTTAGGATTCCAACACAAATTTCATTAAAAAAAATAGCATTCCACGAACTATTTATTAAACCTAAAACTATCATAAATAATAACGATTTATTGGCATTGTCAAAAAAATTGTTTAACGAAATTAAAATAATTAGAAAAATCAATTATATCAGAAAGTTATGTTACAAACACCGCTTCATCCATTGATTAACTATTATAATGTGATCACGACTTAAGTAAAATTTAAATTTCAATGCCAACTTACTTTTTTTTTTTAATTTACAAATTTAAGAAAGTTCGTCATGTCTATAAATAACACAAGTTCGTCACTGAAGTCCCTCTCTATACATAATCTTGAATTCCAAGTCACTTCCTCTCTATATCTGATAACTGAAACCCCAAACACAAATTTCCACCATTTCTTGAAAAGACCTATCAGGATTCCGCCATGGATTCTTCAAAACCACAACAATTTCACCCTGTGATTCCTCATTCACGCACTGTTTCTGGGTCTCGGGATGGTTCTAATGCTGGTGCTGATTTGGATGGTTCTGTCAGAGCATCAGATTCCGCCGGAAACAACCAACCGGAACTGTCACCTCATGGTAGCGGTAGTTCAGAAAGCAAGAGAAAGAAGAGATCGACAGGTGGTGAACTGAAGGAAGATGATGATACGGAGATCGCGAATCAGTCTACGCCCAAGAAACGCTATGAATTTGAATCATCAAAGGGGAAAGAAAAAGGCGAAAATACCACCCTCGGTGAAGAAGAGAGGCTCTTGGAGGGCGTTATTGCCGAATTAGAACAAGAATCGAATGTGTCCTATGCGGACTTGAGCTGGGAAAAGTTAAAAATGCGGGCAAGACGCTTGGAGAAAGAGATAATGGGTGTGTCTGATACTGATACATATGTAATGAAGATAATGAGTTTGTCTGATTTTGATACAGATGTAGTTCTTGCGATGAATCCGTTTAATGACGATAGCATTTGGGGAGAAAAAGACGATGAGGATTATAATAATCCAGCAGAAGAAATAACAGTCGATGGTGAAAGTGATACGAAAGGTAATGATCAAGATTCTGGTGATGATCAAGGAGATACGAAAGGTTCAAAAGATTTGAAGGATTTAATTGAACAAGAATTCGATGGTGAAAGTGATACGAAAGATTCAAAAGATTCATCTGATGTAGAAATCAAAGATGAAAGTGATGCTGAAGATTCAATATCGTCGTCATCAGAAATCTGTGATGTAAGTGATACGAAAGATCCTTCAGATTCGTCATCGGAAGATTCATCGTCAACAGGTTCAAAGGGTTCGTCTGAAACCGATGATGATCATAATCATAAGAAAGATTCAAAAGATTCATCGACATTTTGGCTGGAACGAAAACTGATGAAGATCATAAGGGCATTGATGATAGCCATTGGAAATATTCTACATGGTAATTAGAAATGATTTTTAGTAAATGTGTTTTGTATTGACTTTTTAACTCAAAAAGTCAAAATAAAAGTAGAAAATATGCATATATGGTTTTCGATTTGTAGAAATTGAGATTTGAAATATCAGGATTTTCAAGAATAGAATAAATCTTTACAAATATCAATGAGCATCAAATAATCTTTAGAGAGGTGGGTGTGAGCAACACCCACACAAGTTCTTAGGCTAAAAAACAAAAAAAAATCGTTGTTACCAAATGTGATGGTGGTAAAGGAAAATAACGTGAAAGTCTTTAACATGTAATAACGGGAGGGAGGGATAGTGTTCATTGACATTATCACGTATTATGAGGCACAATAACGGGAGTGGGCGTTGCCCACTCCGAGTAGTCTTACACAATTAACCTAAATATACCGAAAATTATCATGTAACTGTTTGAAACTACATCAATTAACTACGACTATATATATATATATATATATATATATATATATATATATATATATATATATATATATATATATATATATATATATATATATATAGAGAGAGAGAGAGAGAGAACTAGGTTCAAATGTTTTTATCAAGTATTGTGTGCCTAAATGCACCAATAAGAATTCAAGAAATAATAAACAATTAAATAAATCATTTAAGGGTATTTTGGACCTTTTATACTTTTAATTAAGGAAATCATTTAATTGAATCTTGCAATTAAGGAAATAGAATAAATATATTTGACCTAGCCTCTCTCTTAAATCCTGTCTAATAAAACCTCCAGAATCCTCAAACCTTTTTTACTCCTAGTTCACCAACCGGAAGATGCGATTGAAAAATTCTTCAATGGTGGAAGATGCGAAGGAAGGCACTCAACGGTTCTTCGTTCCTCTCCCGTCGTCGGCAGCAAAGAAGATCAAAGGGAAGACCCCCCCTGTGCTCATCTTCGTCGGATTAAGGAGGAGAAGCACGATTGGAATCAGAAATCGGGAAGCACTTCCAGTGATTCACCGATTCGGAGGAGGAGGAGGAGGAAAATATCGATTCCATGAAACCGTTTATCGCTAATCGAGTCATCTGTCATCAAAATCGATTATAATCTTATTAATTGATTTTGTGTTTGAACTAAATCAATCTGTTGAACAGAAATCGGGGAAAAGCAACAGCAGCAGATGGCAGTGAAGTGGTGCTCGGTGCCTGTTATGGAGTCTACAAAAGGAGGTGAACACAAAGGCAACAGTAGATTTTAGGTCGTCAACGACACCACCAAAAAACTGAATTGGTATGCTCTTGTACTAATCATAACATGTTTTTTTAGTTGTATCTCCAGTTCTTGACCACCAAGAAACTGAATTGATAAGACTCTCACTAATTTTTTTTGAAGAAATTGAAGAAGCACACCAAGTGTTCGATAAAATGCATAGTTGAAATCTAGGTTTTTTTTACTGGTTCTGATCATGTTATTTGGTGTAAAAATAAACCATTTGTTAATTGTTAGTAAAAATTTCAATTGGAATTCAGATACTTGTGTAAATGAATTTCAATGTCTGCCACATTCTATTAGAATTGTTAATTGTTTATATGCATTATGATAGAATTTTGGTTAATTGTTTATATGTATTTTGATAGAATTTCAATGTCTGCGACATTCTATTAGAATGGTTGTATTGTGTACTTCAGAATTTATAGTATGTTTTTTTAGTTACAACTTAAATGAATCATTCTTGAAGAATATCTTTTAAAATGATGTTAGTAACAATCATCAATTTGATGCCTATTATTCACAAAAGATTTTTAAAAGAATGTTATTTAAGTGCATTTTGTAATGTTTTCTGTCAGAATTTATTTATATAAATGTATTCTGTTAGAATGTCTTTACGAATATTTGTTAACTAGTATATTTGTTTAACAGGTAATACTAACGAGTAATGTTTCTTATTCTTTCAGAATTGCATAGAGAATGAATTCAATATTGATTATACAAGAAAAATATTTGGAATCGAGTTCAACAACAAGTATATATGCGAAGATCAAGTGGATTATACGGACCACTGAAGAAGTTCAAGTGTATTTGTTCAATAATTGTATATTTAAGAATGTTATTTTTTAAGAATTTTATTCATCTTTGATGATATTCTTTTAGAATATGTATAACTATTTTAAATGTATAAGGATATTAGTCTGTAAGAATATGAATAAATTTGTTTTTTATGTCTCAAATCAAATATCTGCATTGAAAATGTATTCTGCAAGAATAAAATCGAAAATATATTTACTAGTTTATGGTTGGCATTCTATCATTCTAACAAAATAATATTCTATTAGAATAAAATTCTGAAAAAGCATCATTCTAACAAAAAATATTCTGACAGAATAAAATTGGTAAAAAATTGAAATTGAATTAATTTAAAAATTCAGATTTTTTTAAATTAGGATAATTAATCATCCCTAAAAATCCGAAAATTTCCTTTTATAAATGTAGTTAATTGTCCAAAATACCCTTTTGCTTAAAATTGTGTGATTATATGTTACATGTTACCTCATTGTAATATCATACACTCTCAAATCATGTCCATTGATTAATTCTGAAAGAGCATCATTCTAACAAAAAATATTCTGACAGAATAAAATTGGTAAAAAATTGAAATTGAATTAATTTAAAAATTCAGATTTTTTTAAATTAGGATAATTAATCATCCCTAAAAATCCGAAAATTTCCTTTTATAAATGTAGTTAATTGTCCAAAATACCCTTTTGCTTAAAATTATGTGATTATATGCTACATGTTACCCCATTGTAATATCATACACTCTCAAATCGTGTCCATTGATTAATTTCATCCATTGGTCCAGATCTGTGCATTCTGGCACACAATACTTAATAAAAACAAAATAACCTAACCATATATATATATATATATATATATATATATATATATATATATATATATATATATATATATATTTATATATATGTTCAGGTTCATTTGAGACCATTCTAATTTTGTGAGACCGTGAGACCAAATTTAAAAATAATTTTAAAATGTAAAATAAATGGAAAATTCCAAAAATTCTTTTTTTAAATATTATTTTCGAAACTTGAATTAACTAAAAAAATAAAAAATAAATAAATAAATAAATAAAAAATCCTGTTTTTTTTTTTTTTGAAAAATACGTGAAATATTCTAAATAGAATATTACACTGACATATTCTAAAAAATAATTTTAAAATGCAAAATAAATGGAAAAATCTAAAAATTCTTTTTTTAAATATTATTTTCGAAACTTGAATTAACTAAAAAAAATCCTTTTTTTTAAAATACGTCAAATATTCTAAATAGAATATTACATTGTACATATATTCTAAACATAATTTTAAAATGCAAAATAAATGGAAAAATCAAAAAATTCTTTTTTTAAATATTATTTTCGGAACTTGAATTAACTAAAAAAAATAATAAAAAAATGCGTCTCACAGTCTCACAAAATTACGCCGTCTCACATGCACCTAACCCTATATATATATATATATATATATATATATATATATATATATATATATATATATATATATATATATATATATATATATATATATATATATATATATATAAGGTGAGGTTCAATAGAAAACCATAATTAACCAAAGAACCAATCTTTTTTCAACTTTTAGAACTTATTTTTTATCAAAAAAAATTAAAAATACAGAAACTCATAACTTTTTATCTTTTTTCCAATGATATCAAATTCGATTTTTTTTTTTACGTCAAAATCACAATGTGAATTTTTGAAAATTCACAACATGAATCCGGATTCACTCGGTGAATCCGAAAAATATTTTTCACATTCACAATGTTAATATATGAATTTAGATATTTTTAGATTTTTTTTCGATAAAGAATAAGCTTTAGAAATTGAAAAAAAGATTTGGTTCCTTGAAAAACCAATAATTACGGATCTCTATTGAAATTTTCCATATATATATATATATATATATATATATATATATATATATATATATATTTGGGGGGTTAGGTTATAACACGGCTGAACATCTATTATGTGTACGTATGGACAGTGCTATTCTATAAAAATTACTAAGAGAATAAGTTGTTTAGTAATGTAAATACGTTCAACCTTACACAACTATTGTCATTTTCATGCATTCTCAATAATTTTTATTCATTTTTTTTCTCACGCATCGTTTTTCACTCATTTTTATTCTTACAAAATACGACTCAATAAACATTTTGATTGAATTAGAACAATAATAAAAATCTATAATAACCTTATAGATGGTTTAATTAGTGAAAATGTGTGATAATGATAAAAATTATGTAAGATTGAATGTATTCACATTATCAAACAACATATTTTATTTTTCATTCTCACAGAATAGCAATGTCAACATGTCCGCACAATAGATGTCAATCCACATTTGAATCTCTCTCTCTCTCTCTCTCTCTCTCTCTCTCTATATATATATATATATATATATATATATATATATATATATATATATATATATATATATATAAACTTTGAGATCTCATAAGCTTTTTCATTCTAAACATTTTCATGAGTTTTTAAATAGCTATAGTGGATCTCATACAACTAAGTGGGTGTTTTGGGGTGCTTTTCAAAATGATTTATTAGCTTTATTGACTTTTCAAAAAGTCAATAAATTAAAGAAAATACATTTGATAAACACTAATTTTAAGTAAAATCAAGCAAAAAAAATATTTTTTCCACAAAACCATGAATTCCTTGTTTTATGAAAAAGTTAATAAGCATTTTTTAAAACTTATCGAAACACATCTTAATTATAAATAACCAACTTACGTAGAAAAATAATAAAATTATATAAATAAATTGATGGTTCCTATAAATAAAAAGGTTGATGAAAAAACACTCTTATTGTTGATATTTTGTGAGTTTTTTGGATTGTAATTTTAGTGCTTAAGGTGTAGTGAAAAAGCTAAACAAATAAGCTCTCTACGATATAAACCATGAAAGCTTAAAAAAAATTGGTTAATAAATATGATATTTTATCGATTTTATTATTTTATTACTATTATTACTAATAATATATTGTTTGAACAACATATCCCCCAAGACCCAATGTTAAATTGCTTAAACCTTAAATCTCAAGCGAACATAATATGTCAAATTGAAATATAAATTAATTTAAATGAGAGAAAATGGTATCATGCTGGAATTAAGTAAAGTCCTATGCAAAAATATCTCAAAAATATTCGTTTTTACACTAAATTTTGTTATTATTTGATATAATTTTTTTGTGAAACAGCTAAAATTGTTTATAAACTAGTATTTTAGAAAACTATTTAAGATATATTATTGATATAAGGCATTTTCCAAAAGTTTTTCAAAATATACTTTTACATAATTTTTCTACATGTTTTCTAAATATACCATCATATGGCATTTTACATCTGTCATCTAAATTTTCAATTAGTTTTTATCAAATGTTACTATTTTAGCTTATCAAACAAAAACGTTACTCCAGCAAAAAACTAGTTTTTAGTTATTCTAACAGCCTAGGCAGTCAATTTTTAAATCTTATGGAGATAATCAATATCTTATAAAAGTAACATACTTACTAATTACACCAGCCCATCAAAAAAACATATTTACTAATTACAAGCATAAAAAAAACATAGCATATAACATAATAAGCACAGATTTAACATACGGTTTTTTCTGTTTTGTCATAAAATAAGACATCATTAGTTTGGCAATTTCTCTCCATCTTCCATTTTACAGATCTCACTATTATAGTTATATTTTTCTTTGGCATAAGAAAAGATAACAACCATATAAATGTGACCCATATAATGAAAATGTTAAATAACCTTCAGCAAGTGATAATTGTGACTTAAATACTGACATTTTTTCACTCTGTTTTTTGTATTATCATTTTCATCATCATCATCATCAAAAGAAATTGTCTCCATTAAACTTCAAGGATCTGGAGAGATGCTTCCATTGACCAAAAAATTTCGCCGGCTGCCACCTATGATTGCGTATTTAAGACCTGTCATCATCCTCATCCTCTGTCAACAGTAGCAGACACCAAAAGTTATTCAAAATCATGTATTTAAACTGTAACTTTACACAAAATTGGCTGAAATTGTTTCTATAAAATCCCCAAGTCATTTTGTCCCAAATGAGATAAAACATGTCAATTTAGCTACAAACTTACTAAGGTAAATGATGATGATGATGATGATATTGAGGGCAAAGAGGTTATTTTAGCTTAATACTTGTATTGCATTCAAAAGCCAAAAAAGTAAAGCTTTTTTGGGCTTATGACAAAAGTACCAAAAATGGGAGGTTGGTATTAAGAAAATATGTCTTTTCAATATTTATCATAAAATAGCCATTTATTTCACAAAATGAATTTTGCAGTTTGCAAAATTGCTTTATTAACGGTCCTAGGCTCCCAGATACAAAAACAAAAACTTTAAAGAATAACATCGTCATTTTGCAATATATGATTTGTCAGTTTGGTGATAAATATTGAAAATATGGTCCTTTTCTTAATAACACCCTCCGAATTATGTCATTTTGTGATTATAATAAAATGGTTATCTTTTGAACATTTATCACATAATAACCTCTAATTTTGCGAAATATTGATGTCATTTGAGGTCAATTTGCAAAAAAAAAAAAAAAGAGAAGTCTATTCCATGAAAACCATTTATGGAGAAATGTAATTGTAATGTAAGCAGGAGTTAGGCGTACCTCATCATGGATCCGAAATTTCAATTCATGGCGCAAAACTTGCCATCTTTCATGCTGCCACTGTTGGCCAATAATCACAATACCCATCACTGCAGCCGCAGCAAAAATAGACCAAAATGTACTCGTCTCTTTTGTATGTGCATACAAAGATACAGCTTGTTTCTTCAACCAAACTCCATAAGGCACACCACATCCAGATCCAGATCCATCATGTTCATGGTGGTGGTTGTTTTCTTTGGGTTCCTCAGAAGAGTGTACAGACTCATCTAATTCTCTCATTCCATCATCTATGTTTTTCACACCCATACTTGCGTCACTGTGTAATGAATCAAGTGCGGGAGAAGTGTAAATACTCTGCTCTTTTGCTCCCATATTTAGACTGGACAATGTAGTGTTCTCTGTGAAGTCCGTGTCACCAAGGGATAATTTCTCATTAGAAAAGGGAATTTTGTGATATTCATGTAACTCGGTTAGCTTCTTAAGATCATAAATTTCTTTTTCTTTAACGGATTCAGAATCATCAAGCTGATCAAAGATCTCTATGTCTTCTTTAGGTGGCAAAACAAAATGAGTAGACATGAACAATGTGTTGGAAGTTTCGACTTTATCTTTGTCAACTACTTCACCCTTTTCTTCATGTTTAAGCTCTGGGATATTCCCACCAGGGGCAGCAGCGTATGCTGATGCAGTGAGTGATACTACTTCCCAATCGGCTCCTTTAGGGGTAGTTGCATGTCCTTCCTCTTTATCTGCCATCTGTGTTTTGTGCATGCATCATTGCCCATTAGTGTAGGATTGAGGCAATCTAGTGTAGGAATTTGTAAAATTGTAGGGATAAGAAGGTAAGATTAAACTAATATGCTTCTATAATAATTATTATATTATTATATTTTGCGTGCTCAAGATAGGGTTAGAAGAGTCAAAGATAAGCCCTACAAATGACGAAAGTAAGAACATTTATAAATCACTTTGGCTATTGATATAACCTCTCGTTGTGCTCATGCCACGTAAAGGCAGGAATCTTAACAGTGGATTTGCTTAGCAAAAAGTCGCCCCTTGGTTAGCAAAAACACAAAATAAATAGCAAACTTTTTCTTCAAAGTTTGGTAGTCCACTGGAATTAAATATTTGAAACGAATAATAAGGAACAATAAGATCACACGCAATCCTTTCCTCGCAATAATTCAGAATATTAAGATGAAATAAGAACTGTAGATCGATATAACATATATCAGCAAAGACTAATCATAGATGCTTAAAACGACACGATTATGAATACCAAAAAAAAAAAAAAAAAAAAAAAAAAACCGTAAAATTCAAAATTCAGATAAAATCGCCGGTGAATCAGAAGTTGCGTTGTTATCTAAATCATCATCAAAGACCAACGTATAATCAATTTACTTACAGGCTACAGCTACGTTGATGTATGAAGTATCGTGTAGCAACACGTTATGTTTCCCAAAATTCAATACTCTACAAAAGAAATTACAAAATGGATCTAGACATCGGCAATAACTAATCAGACATGCTTAAAACAATACGGTTACGAATATAACTAGGAGAAATTAAAATTTTAAACAATATCATCAATCGCTTAGAAGTAAGAAGGTGCGTTGTTAACTAAATCACCAATCAATATCATCGTATAAGCGATTCACTTACAGTAGGGATAAGGTTTTAGGTAGAGACGCCGGAGACGATGATGTACAAACTGCTATATCAGGGTGCGGTTAGTGGAGTGTTTTTGGGGAAACGGATGATGATCGGAGGTGTGTATATGTAGTACTAGAAGGAGTACAGGGATAAAGGGAAACTGGGTACAACCGGTAATGATAAATGATTATTGGTGGATTAACCGGATATAGCAGGTAAAGTATGTAACTGTTGTTTGCACAAGGAGGGAAAGTATATGCGGTAGCTGCATTGGCGCGTTACTTTTTGACTTTTTGGTCTTTTGAAGAGATGGTTCATGTTTGGGGCACAAATTTAGATCGAAAAACAAACTAAGAACTTGTTAAATCCTCTTGCAAACGGATTTATGACACTATGAAGATGGCCTGTTGGCAAAAAGATTAACAAATTATCGGTTTGTTTTTAATCTAAATTTGTGCTCCCAAGATTAACAAATTATTGGTTTGTTTATAATCTAAATTTGTGCTCCCAAATATGGAGCATCTCATTTATAGGTATAATGATGTTTGCAAACAAGTTTTTATACGGGCCTCGCCCACACTCCGCTAACTACAAAATACGGGCCTCGCCCACACTCAGCTAACCAGGATATACGGGCCCCGCCTATACTCTGTTGACTACGAGATATGGACCCCGCCCACACTCGGCTAACTACGAAATATTGGCCCCGCCCACACTCAACTACTATGAGATATGGGCCCCGCCCATACTTAGCTACTAAACATACATACAAGTATCACACAGACAACAAGTATAATCAAATCTATTCATCATTCCTATATTCATACTCAAATACTGATATGAGATACGGGCCCCGCCCACACTCAACTATATATGAGATATGGGCCCCGCCCACCCTTAGCTACTAAGTAATACACATAACATATACGGGTTGGTCTTGGTGCCTTCGACCCGTTCAAACCAGGAGGAAAATCACCTCACTATCGGATGATAGCTAAAACGTATATGCCCGTAATCAACTCTACTCACTTCCCTAAACCAAAACAACCCCTTAGATACCATTCATACTCATAACCCTTAAGGTCAACTCTGGTCAATTCAAAGTCAAAGCCAACGCTCCAATTGACTCAACTCGTCGAGTTTACCCATCAACTCGTCGAGTTCTCATGAACCACAAAATCGTGAATCGCAATCTAACTCGTCGATTTTTCCTCCAACTCGTCGAGTTCCTCTTTCTCAATAGAAACGAGACTTCCTAGTACAACTCGTCGAGTTCCCTTATGGACTCACCGAGTCCCTTACATTTCTAGTCTATTCAACCCTTTCCTCAGATCTAAGGTTCCAGAATACAGATCCATGTTGTTTCCACAACCTATTTTTGTAAAGTTGACAACTTGATGGCTTTATATGCCTCAAATGAACCATAACTCGAGATATAGCAACCTACTTCCATGGACATGGTCTTCTCTTGGACAATAACGGGTTTAAGACCCTTTTTATGATTCTAAGGGCCAAATGTCACTGGAAAATGGGAATCCTTAGCATATGATCTATGAAGGGTTTCATGTTTCCCACAGTGGGGTCAAAAAGACCCATAAAGCAAAACTAAAAGAGATCTAAGCTATGAATCACCAAGTTAAGGACGTTTTACCTCAGAAAGCTGCCAAAGATGGACAAGATCCCAGATCTAATGCTTATCCTCAAGCTTGATGGTTTCTAGTTCTTCCAACTCCTTTTCCAAGCACAAAAACCCACACAAATCAACTCAAAACTTCAAGTTTCTTACCACATAGCTCACAATACGATTTAGGGTTTCAGGGAGGCTGATGAGAGGCTAAGTGAAGGGATTAAGTCTTTTAAATGGGGTGTAAAACCTTGGAAATTAGGGTTTCATCCCAGCCAATCTACTCATCGAGTTGAGGTCTCTCAACTCGCTGAGTAGATTACTTAAATCACGTGGTTCTAACAATATCTACTCGACGAGTTTGGGGCTTCCAACTCGTCGAGTCGCTCCGTAAAAATGAATAATTTATAATTTAAATGTGTACCAGAAATCAAACGTTACAATAATAGTAAGGGCAATAAGGAAACATACATGGATTTAAGTGTCACAAGTTTCCCAATCATGTTTGCAAGTTGTCTAAGGCTCTTTATGGTTTGAAACACGTACTACGTGAGTGGTTCCAACGATTCAACTCTTTCTTGCTTGCAAATGGTTTTGTTTGCAAACATGCTGACACCTATTTATTTATTTTTTTCCCAACATCCATGCATCATGTATCTCCTTGGTTTAGAAGTGGGTTATATTTATGATGGGTTCTTCTTTAGTCAGTCTAAATATGCCAAAGATGTCATGTCTCGTGTTGACTTACTTCACTCTAAACCAGTTCCCACTCCTTTGGCTACTCATGAAACCTTTACACCTGATGGACCGTTATTTTCTGGTCTAACTCTCTACCGCTCACTTGTAGGTGCTCTTCAGTACTTAACCATTACTCGACCAGATCTCTTATGTGCTATCAATCACGCGAGTCTATATCTTCATGCCCCTACTGATGCTTACTTTCCCTCAGTTAAGTGGATATTGCGCTATGTTAAAGGTACCATTACCTATGGGCTTATCTTTCGACAACCTCAAACAAACAACATTATAGGTTACTCTAATGCTGATGGGGTTCGTTGTCTTGAAACTCATTCGTTTGGTTTCTCAACAAATATATCATTAAAAATAGTCAATTGTTTTTTAGATGAATTACGAACGAATGAACAAATTTGATTGACTCGAAGATTAGCATGTCACTTTGTTTATTAGATGTCCCGGACTTAGAGATTGGCATGTCACATTTTAAAATATCCATTGGTAACCAGACAATGGCTAAAAATGAAAACTTTTCCAAAAAAATAATGACTAATTGGAAAAAACATTGTTGGGACAGCAACTGAGATGTAAATATTTAGGCTAAAAAAATGTTTGGACAAAATGACAAGTTATTCCTGTGAAAAAATTTCCAAAATATAATGACATATAAGTAACAAAAAAAAATTAGTTGAGCTAAAACAAAACAATGATGTAAATATAATGCTTTTATGGTACTAACCCTTCTTAGTTTTGTGTTTTTGTAGCACGGGTGGAGTGTAGATGTTGACAGAGGCTAAAATGGAGGCTTTCAATTGAAATCTCTTGGACTACAACAAAGCGTTCAAATTCTCCCATCTTTTCCTACCGACTAGATTAGAAAGAGAGAAATAAGTGCGGTATCTTTCTAAGTCACACACACACACACACTTCTTCAATAATTTGAGCTTTTTATTTATAGGTATATATAAATTTATTATTGTAAATCGGTAGAATTGAAAGCATTTAATTGCATTCGACTGATGATACATGCGGCTAAACTAAGATGGCATGAATTGTTTGTTACCATGATTCATCAATAGAGCATTGGATTGTTGATCAGATGCACATAGTATGTTTTCTCTTCGTTAGGTGCTTATGATTTATACTGGTTGTTATTTTACATTTTTTTTTGTATGAAAATTAGGTTGTTTTATCCTGTAACTTATGTATGACTGAGCAATGTTACATGGAAACCGAAAAGGGATCTAAGCCCGAGAATCAATGATTAAATGGATTGTTTCACTTCATTATTAGTTGATTAGAGGATGTTAGATGTTATTCTAAGGATTTTGTAACAAAATCATAAAGTTATTGGAAAATTAACTGCTAGATTGTTATGATTTGAATAATGGAATAAGCGTGATGTTAAACTCCATTACACACCCATGGTGTAGCTAGAACTTGCTCCATTTTATATTAAAATTTGAAGTATTGACTTGATGTTAGCTCTAAAATATTAGACCTTTCACCTACAATTGTATCCCAAATAAATTTTATGTATTTGTGGCAGGTGCGACTTAACCTGTTACTCATGAGATTGTTTCTGGAGATTAAGATCTCATCATAGCGCAAGTCATCAGTGTGTATATAAATAACAAAGTTTTACCATATTAATATTACCTAATGGCTTGATAGTGTGTTTGCCACCCCAGTGAAATATAGTTTTAAACATGATTATTTTTCATTTAATGTGCAGGGTGGCTGAAGGGCTCACAATTGATGGAATATTGGAAAACTGGTCAAAGATAAAGCCAGTAATAATGGGAAAATGGAGTGAAAACTTGTTGATATGTTTGGAAAAGTTAGGGATGAATGGATTCATAATGACTTGGCTACCTGGATTGGAGCTAACAGGTGAACATGAAGGTTATTAGGCTTGAAAAATTAAAAAGATGAAATATAGAATGAATGACCTTGTTTTTGTCATATAACACTTGAGATGAAGATGGCAGATGAAGTGACAAACTTATTTTCATAATACAACATGTGATAGTGATATGTGATAAGAAGATAGCAGTTGAGATGAAGATGATGCCAGGTCATATTCATATTTTAATTTCTTATTCAACTTAATGTTCTTTTATGATAAACCTAAATAAATAATGTTGTTATTTCTGATAAACCTACTGAATGTCTATAAATAAAGTTTATTTGTTTCCCGGTTTAAGTTTTTTTATTGTATTGGTTTCAATATAATTACTTCAACAAACACTTAACAAAACTAATTCATAAAACAAATGCTAAAAAACGAACTTGTATATCAGCAACCCAAACAGCTATTTCGAGAGAATTTTTACCTTTAATTTAGAGATTGAGAAAGGAATCCGGGACTAAATGGGAGAAACAGAGCTTATTATCTTTTTTAACAGGTTGTTCACTAGTTTAATGACTCTTAAATGACACAAAAAAAAGGGCCATTTAAAACCAGAACATACTCTATGGTGTAATAAACAAGTCTATCCATCCATTATCATTCATTAAACAAATGCCACCATAATTTGTAACCTCTACACCCACAAATACAAAAGGAATGGATTGATTGCCTACAAATATAAAATAAAATCAGGTTTTTTTGGAGTGGTACATGCCAAGGATTATACTTAAAAAAAAAAAAGAGCACATAACAATAACATCACTTGTCGTCTTCCTTGGGTGTTTTATCCTCCTTTTTCTTCTGCTCAGACTAATAAAATCTCAAATTATTTTTTATTTTTTATTAAAAAATAAAAACACAATCTTTGGACTAACCTCAGGCTGATTTTGCATTGACGCAAGCAAATCCTTGACTGAAGGATCATTGGGGTCAACTCCTGGCAGCTTCAAAAGTCAAAACCATCACCAAAAAACAAAAAATCAATTTCTCTCCATTTTTGGTATTATTTTTTTCTATTCACAAAAATAAGAAAAAGTGTAATGATGATGTACTGAAGCAAGAATAGATGAGACAAATGACTGATCAGCCAAGAGCTTCCCCATATCTGCCTGCCCCGACCCTGATCCATCTTTTCCACCTTCTTCAACAGACAATTGTAGGGCTGCAAATTGCAAATTAACACCGCTTAATTTCAAAGATTGATCCCCCACCCCCTCCCCTTTTATTTTATTTTTTTACCAAGAACTGTAAAAATATCAATCTTAAATAATATTCATAGTAAGTTACCAAGTGCCAAATCTTGATCATCAGCAGCTGCCTCTGACATGTCAGCATCCCTTGTTGTCACAGTAGTAGCAGCAGGATCATCCATTGACATGGCAAGAGCCTGTTGCAGCAATGCATTCTCATCATCCTGACAAGCCACCATTATTATACTGTTAACATCAAGTATGTATTATAAAAATTAAAGTTAAAGCTAAAAAAAGAAGAAGCAAGAACTAACCATTAAATCATCTTTTTTATTCTCAGATTCAGAAGCAACATTTTCAGACATAGCTGCATCTTGTGAAGTAGACTCCCCTTGCCTCTCATTCTTTGAAGAATCATCTGCAGCTTTTTTAGCAGCAGCTTCTTGCCTTGCTCTTTCTTCTTCCATTGAAACACGAAGAGCAAGTGCCAGCTCAGGATCAAGATTTGGGTCAACACCAAAGTCATAACCAGATACACCACCAGCTGCAGCTGCAGCAGCTGCTGCTGCAAATCCACTTCCACCTTCTCCATCACCAGTAAAGATTGGAGTACTGTATTAACAGTAAAACATTCATCAGCCAATGCAATACTTTAAAATAAAGATAATGTCAATAAAAAAATAAATTATAATAAACCTTAACAGAACATCAGAAAGAGCATTTGATCCAGCTGGGACATGAACGATGTGACTGCTGTCGTTGTTGTTTACAGCAGCAACTAAAGCTTCAAGCTTTTCTGACTTTGATTCATCTTCTTCACCAAAGTTCACAACATCAAGAGCTACACTGTTCTTCTTTAACTTCTTCCCAATCATCTCCAGTACTTTCTTATCGTATTTGACAGGACTGAAAACCAAAAAATGTGAATGAAATCAGAAGATAATTAATTAAAAGATGATATGTATAAGGATACATATACATACCCTCCAGCAAACACAATTATCCTTTGTTGCTGTTTTTTGTTTTGGCGATGCTTTAAAGCCAACTGAGCAATTTGGATCCCAGCTGCTAAGTTCATCTCACCACCTATTTCTAAACCTGAGTAAGTGAAGAATAAATTTCAGCACTTCAAACTTCATACAAAATTGTTGTATAGATTGTAAGTAAATATTACATCAAAGAAGCTAACCATGCATGCAAGCCAGGATCTTGCCAAGATCGCTAGTAGGAGTGACAAGAACACGGACACCTTTGCCAGCCATTGTCAATACGCCCACTGTATTTTCAGGATTAGACTGCAACATCAATTTTTCAGCTTCTCACCGGATAAATCAACTTGCTATTGATGAATATAATTTATGTAAAAAAACAAACTAGTAGCCAAACGCCTAGACCTACACAATTCATCTTATGTGGGATCTTGTCCCAATCTACTGAAAACATTTCCCAATTAACAATATTTGCGTACGACTTAAACTCTTGGCAACAACAATACAAAAGCCCTTTGATTGACTATCAAATTACCTGGGTTTTAGCGCCACAAATCAGATTAACAGCGTCGGCTTGGGCTTGAAACCTAGTGGGCGAGTAATCCCCGTTACGCATCCATTCGGAATTATCGATACAGATCATCGTAGCCTGATCCAATTAACAAATTAAAAGCCTAGTTTTTTGAAATAGAAGAATATATGGCAAAATCGAATAATGTACCTCGAGCACCATGATTGAAGGTTGACGAAGAAACGGAGTAAATCGAAAGAGTGATTACAGGGTTTGAGAGTTGTGTTTAGAGGAGAGGAATGGAGAGTTTTCTTGCCCGATACGTCATACGTATCGTACCACTGGAAATCTGGAATATCAAAAAAACTTGGGCCCTTCTTTTGTTTTTGTTGGGCCTGTGAACATGCTTTGGCCCAGACCTTGACAAGATTGACCTTTTTAATAAGCCTTATCTAAAATAGAGCATACACTCATACTAAATTTTCCAAGTACTTTTGTTTTTGCTCGAAACAAAAAATAAAGGACTAAGGCATGGGCATGTTTGTCTTTCTACCATTTTTTAACATTTTCTTCCTGACGGTATTAATGATAAGAACCATTTTTTACAAATAAATAAAATCAAAGGTACAATTAGTGCAACAAAATGAAAGTTGGATCAAACCACTAATTTCCACTATACCTTTAGTTCTCTGTACTTGTGTCTAATTTTAAATGTAAGACTTTATTTTTAGTTTTGATTATCTGAACAAACTATTAGCTTTAAATTATTTTTACATCTATTGAATACGATACATTATAATGATTAACTTTCTATATTTCTTAATTTAACTATTAAATAAATGTTTGTATAAAACAATTGTAAATTATAGTTAAACCAAAACTAAAAGCTATAAAAGACGATGCGTACGCAGCTAACTAAGAGCATCTCCAACTCACTCTCATTTTCCATTTTTTCCTCCATTTCTTCCCTCATTCCTTTCCAACTCTATCTCATTTCTTCCCCCATTTTGAGAGAAATGAATAGTATAACACTAAATATGGTGTTATACTATTCATTTTTCCTAAAATAGGGATAAACTTTGAGTTGTCTGTTTTAATCCCTCATTTTAAATTTAATATTTAATAATTATAATATTGTGTTATATATTAAATTATATTAATTAATTATAAATATATGTTTTTTTTTTGTTTATCAAATTCATATTAAATTTTAAATACATATTAAAAATTTTAAAACATAATAACGTATTTTACATAAGCTTATAATTACGTATTATAAATATAATATTATTTATTTAATTTTATTGTAATGAAAAAAAAATATATTATATATTTGTTAAAATCAAATTAATTGAAGGTGTGTATTTGACAATTCATATAAGTTAAAAGAATAGAATATACTTTTTGGGGGTAAAAAAAAATAAAAAAATAAAATAGGGTTGGAGATCAAATACAACGTAGATAAAATCTGTATATACTAACAGGCCTTTAAGTATGTGTACCACACCACTTACCTAAAACACAAAAGGGGTCTTTAAATATGTGGACCACACAACTTACCTAAAACCCAAAAGGTGTTTAATTAACAATAATAATGATATAATTGAATATTAATAACCATTATGTGGAAAAAATGTAAATAAGATAATAGAGTTATTTGAAACGTCTCAATTTTCATTATATATATATATATATATATATATATATATATATATATATATATATATATATATATATATATATATATATATATATATATATATATTAGGTGTAAAACCCGTGCATTACACGGGTTAATTAAAAAAGTTAAATATAAGGTGTAGATATTAAATATTTTCTAAAATAAAATTTTGAAATAAATATAAATAAAATGATGAATAAATAATTCAATCTATACTAATAAAAAAAAATATCATCATGTTTAAAAAATCATGTTGAATATGAATGTATAAAAATTAAGTATTTTTTAAAGTAAACTTTTGAAATAAATACAATAAATAGAATAAACCACAAGAACCATTTATGTAAATTGTCTTAATTATTTTATACTAATACTAATTAATATAAATTCACAAATTGAAATCATTAAATAGAAATAAGAATTCACAAATGAAGGTTTACTGTACACATTAATTTACATTAATTACTATGTGTGGCATTTAATAGGTAGAAGTTGAATGAAAATGAAAAAAATACAAAAATACAAGTGGAAAAAAATAATTTAAAAATTATAAGAAAATAACATGTCTCAAATTTAATAAGAAGTTGATATTTGACAAAATTATCTTTATTTATTAGGGTATAAATATATATATATATATATATATATATATATATATATATATATATATATATATTAAATAAGATCAAACACCATTAACAAGAATAATGATATAACTAGGTATTAATAACCATTTTTTCAAGAGACAAAAACCCGAAATCAGAGTATGATAAATAAACGTGGAATCACAAAGTACAAAAACTATTGATGAGTGTGTGTAGTCGCACATTCGTCTTCCCACGATCATTTTAAATACCTTAAATATTTAATATATAATTGTAAGTTAAAACTCAATGGGTTTTCCAATATATCATACACATCATAATACATGCAAAGATACAAACATTTACCTTCAACATGAAGTTGATGTACCACCTTTGCCTTCACCATAAAGTTGGTATGCACCCTTGCCTTCAACAAAAAGTTGGTCCGCACCTGGCCTTCAGCACAAATCTTTACTGCTTCAATTCATCATAATTATCAATCAATATATATATATATATATATATATATATATATATATATATATATATATATATATATATATATATGTGCGCTTATGTTATTCTATTCAAAGTAATTATTGTGCTATTATATGCATAAATATTAGCCAATCATTTTACTTATTTAGAAAGTGATTAATACATATTATTGAATTAAAAATAATCGAAAAATACCATTTATTTCAACTAGAAGGGTATTTTAGTCAATTAATATAGATTTAATAAAGGAAAATTTCATATTTTAAGGGATCACAGATTCTATTAATTTTAAAAATCCGATTTTACATATTATAAGTTTTTAAATCGGACATTCTGATAGAATATGTTTGAGTATGTGCAAAAAGAAAAATATTCTAGAACCATAAAATAATAAAAATATTCTTGAACTTATTTATTGTAGAATAGCAAAATCTCGAACCAACAATTGACGAATTAAAACAAAAATTATATTAATTCTTATAGAATACATGTAACAATTGTTAAAAATTACATTTATTGTTAAAGAATAAAACTGAAAAACTTTCAAATCGGGGAAAAAACATCAGAATCTAACAAATAAACTAATTTATTCTAAAAGAATAATGTTGCTAAGAGGCGTCGTTCAAATTTCGGGTCCGTTCTTCAAGTATCAGCTTCTGTGGAAACAAATTCAATGAATAAATTAGTGATAAAATATTCATATTCCATTTCAACATAATTGGAATTCATGATTCCATTATGATAGAATTGAAATTCATTTACAAATAATTATATTAATTCAGGGCATTCTAATAGAATATGTTCATGAACCATGATTATCATAAAAAACATTCTTTTTCTGACAGAAATACTATAAACGAATATTATCAAAATTACTAATTTGGTATTCTCTTTATTAAAAAAAAAAAAAAAAGATTAATAACACAAACACATAATTCAAAACAAATTGATCTTAATGTTCAATATCTAATACCTAATTCATAGAATGATACATCTTCTTAGGTATTTTTTAATATTCTTCAAAGAAATTCAGAAAACTATAACATTTGCTTAAAGGTATTTTGACCTACCAACCGTGTCAAGGGCACGAAGAACCAATTCCATGATGACTGTATATCTAGCTATTGTATGGAAGATGATAGGATCATCCAGTGATCCGGATCCCTATTAATAATCTCGCACAACTGAGGACTACTCATTACACTGTTGTGTAGAGCTTCTGGATCATTGATTAGTTGTTCCAACGTACTTTGACTGATGTGGGGATGATGAATCCATATGTGTTGTATTTCTTTAACCTCTGGAAATTCACACAAATTAATTGTAGTAGGTAGATAAGAACGAACCAAGTGAAGAGTGTGCTCTACCTCCAAATCTGTGAATCACAAACAGAATATATGCAACGATAGTCCCAATTACAACAAATCAAAGCATTTGAACAAATTTAATCCCAATTATAACATTAACCAACTATCGAATAAGAACTATTTTCAATTTATCATAGCATCTGAATAATTTCAGATTGAAATTAAGATGTCAATCACAATGAGTAAACATGTAAACATGCAGATGTATTACCAGTAATGACTTAATGAAAGTAGTATACCATAAATCCTAAGTGTCTGATCGTCTTTGAGAACTAAGAAGGCGACCTTTATAAATCAAACGCTGATGTTCCGCAGGTACATAACAGTGATTTGCAATCACAGACTTGAAGGTTTCGACAGACGAATCCAAGCTCACATGAGCAACAAACTTCTTGATTCCAGAGCACTGTATGTTAATGTCGACAACGTCATTTCCGCCAACTTCTAATCCATCGGTGATGGCCATCGCCACCATCATTTACCTCGCCTCCGCCTTCAATATCACCTTGTTTCCTCAAATCCTTTATATACTACACATACATACCATACATTAGAACAATACGTATTAAGTACACTCAATTTCAGCATATAACACCAAACAGACAAAAATAATCAGACATACTTGAACATGAGCATTGTAGTTGGCTGGGCTTGTCAAGAGCTCCATTTCTAAGGTTTGTAATTTGAGAGCAGCTTAAGCCTGGTTGTCCGACTCCAAGTCGGAATCGAAACTTGATGCAGACTGGAATAAAGGGGTAATGGCGGCTACAGGGACAAGGGTGGGGTGTCGATTTGTTCAATTTAGGGTTTTCACAATCGGTTTTAGATAAAGAGGGGAAGGAGATTTAAACTGGAGAGATAGCATGATTATAGGGATTATTTTTAGAAGTTATTAAACAAACGACTAAATTACTCTTATTTATTTATTTAATTATTTAATTTTTTATTTAATTTTGATTGACCCACATTTATGCATACAATAACACAATACTTAGTTAAAACACATGAACCTATCTCTCTCTCTCTCTCTCTATATATATATATATATATATATATATATATATATGTATAACATTCTATTTCGAGATGTTTCTTATTTCGGAAATTATGGGCATTTAATGGAACAAGCAAGGGCATTGGACTTCAAAGGGCTTGGGTTTTAACCCCAATGGGATATGGATTATATAGGTTATATGATCCAAGCTCTCAGTTTGTGTTTTTTAGTCAAGGGGTATAATGGTAAAGTGATGCTTTAAACTTCTTTCATGAAATTAGGATTCTAGTTCGATAAGTTCTAAGTCAAAGGAGATTAGATGGGATTAAAGGGTTTTTCATTACCTTTCCGAGCATATAAAGAACGCCGAAAACATAGTTGGGACGAATAGGTTATGGACATTGGAAGTTAGAATGGAAATGATTTTTGGCTTGTACGCTAGGCGTACATGGCATGTATGTTGGCGTACTTTACTTAATCTGATCGTGGGGATTCTCTCTGGTACTTGGGGCTTACCTAGAGCACGTTGAGCATACTTGTGGCAGGGTCAAACCCTAGTTTCTGGGTCTTGGACCCTATTTAAAGACCGTAACCCCTTGGAAACCCTTCTTATCTTTAATCCCCATGCTCTAAAGCAGTTCCCTTGAAACCTAGCCCCATTTTGAGATTCTTGAGGCCTTTGAGTGATTTGGAGTGTTCTTGGTGCCTTGTGGAAGAAGGAGAAGTTCATCCGTGTGGATTGTTGTGTCTAGAGCTTGGAGATCCAAGACTTTTTATAATATTTGCAAGCTTCCAGGGTGTAAGTAGCCCTTGTAGTAATCGTGTGCATGTGATTTAGTTATCTTAAGTATGAGGTGAGTCTCTTCATTGTACCCATTGGTCGAAGACACCAATGCTGGCCCACTAGAATGTGTTATGTAGAGTATTAGTTGTCTTTGTGACTCTTGCATTGTATATTGGGTTGGGACCATTGGTATATATATATATATATATATATATATATATATATATAAGGTTGGGCCCATTTGCATGAGTGGGTTGGGCCCATTCTATGTTAGACTAAGCCTATTGTATGACATGCTAGGCCCATTTGTATGTTGGTTTGGGCCTACTGATCATGAAGGGGTGGGTCCATTATTATAGGTTGGGCCCAATGCACGGTCCAGACCCAATAATATGTATGGTATGTGGTATTTTGGAGAACTCACTAAGCTTTGTGCTTACGATTATGTGTTTAAGGTTTCAGGTACTTCCGGTTGCAAAGGGAAGTCCCTCGCATGACTGCACATTGTTCCCCATTTTCCGTATTAGCTATTTATGACTTTTACCCTTATGTTTAAATGATATAATCACTTTGGATGGTTTTGAAACAAATCGGTCCTAGTGTTTATGGTTTTATAAAAAAAATATTGGAAATTTTACTCTTAATTTTTGGGACGTTACAATATATATATATATATATATATATATATATATATATATATATATATATATTATGAGTGATAAACAGACAACTCAATACCACATGTAACAAACTAACAAGTTTACTAGCCTAATAGCATACTACAATCTAACAATGCCCTAACACACAAGAATACATAATACGATATGTAGTATAACAAGAAAGTCACCTAAATCAATGATCTGAAAAAGCTAACACCCAAAGTATCATGCAGTCATCTATACGAACCTCCTAATCCTAACAGAGGTCAAACCCCAGTCTACAACTTAAAACTTACATTCTGACCAAAGGTCAAACTTTGTTAAAAAGTCAATGGCCAACCATTGTTACCCGGCATCATGGCCAACTACATGGGCCACACTATGGTCACCAGACGACAAAAACAGTCGCAACTAGATCTCGCGACCCACGTTGCGACCTACCCTTCACCGTGTTATCTTTCCGACAAAACAACCAACTATTATTAAGGAATCAATCCGTTAAGACAAGAGTTCCAAATCTCGTATCAGAAAACTCCTAAACTTCTTAATGGATAAAGTTTCTAACTTTATCTGTCTTAATGGTTGAATCAACCAAAAACTCAAACCCTAAGTCCAAAAATCCATCAAAGAGTCAAAAATAAGTGCATAGTTGAACTATGAACACATGCAACCTCATTTCTTCCAATATCAAGGTCCAAAAACAATATAATATACTCAAAAGGTCTCAAAGCTCCTCAAACTCCTAGGACACATGAAATAAAGGACGACAATGACCATAAGGTCATCTATCTCCTAAATCTAGTATCATGGAAGCATAAAGATAAGAGCCTGACACTAACAAAAGATTCATCACATGATTTGATCGTCGGAGCACTAAAGACTCACTCACCAAGACCTTCCTTTAAATTTTACTTCCTTGAATCTTCACAAAGAGCACCAAGAACACACACACAACAAAAAGGTTAGTGTTAGGTGGATGAAGGTTCTCTACAATGGAAGTTGTAAAAAATGACGAAACCCTAATGAGACATGCCTTAAATAGGCCCAATTCTTGAAGCTTATAGGGTTTTGCCCATTGGGTCCACAACGCTGCAATCTAGATTCCACAACCGCACCGTGACCCACAACCATAAACCCCAAACTTAATTAAGTTTTTAAAACTAAAGATGTCCATTAACCAAGGGTGTTTCGATGTTGGTAACAAACTAAATGGAAAAAATCACAAACATTTAAATACATTACTATGTTAACTAAATAAAGATGTTTGAGAACTTGCTTTTGAAGTCAAAATAAATTGTAATCAATGTAACATGGAACAAATTAGCACACATAAAAAAACTGTAAAAATCAAAGTCATAGATTAGGCTTTAGTGATTTACCTATACATAAATAAATAAATAAACATCAACTAATACAAAACCAATCAAGAATCCTATAATTCACAAATTCAAAAACTAAAAAAGGAAGCGATGAAGGAGAAAATAAGAGAGACTCAAGAGTATATGTGGGCTTTTTCAATTTGGACAGCCTACAGACGAGAGAGTTGTATCGAGGGTCTTTATGTATTGAAGTAAAAAATAGCTAAACACTTGAGGTGTTTTTACAAAATTATTATATATTCATTACAAAACAAATGATCGTGATCATGAACCACCAGATCACATATTTTCTCTATTTTTTATATATAAATTGTTTTATTTGCAATAAGTGAATTTTACTAAAATCGAATATCGTGACGTAATTAACATTATTGAATGTAAAAGAAATTAAGCAGATGAGATTAAAGATGTAACAATTTCGACGAATTTACTTAAATATGCATTGATTTTGTTTTACCTTTAATCATATACCAAGTTAAATCATATAAACTTTGAAAGGAAAAAAAAGAGCAAGTAAAAAGACAAAACATGTTTTAGATTTCTAACATGTTAAAAGTCTTTGTTCGGAAAAAATGTTGAAAGTCTAGATTTGTTTTGCCTCACCAACTACTTACAATGAGTCGTTTACTACAAGTATTCTGAGTCAAACCAAATGTTTTTACTCAATTTAAGTTAAAAACTTATGAAAATCTTCAAATTTTGGTCTTATTTATAAAAAAGCCATTACTGGATTTTTTTAGTAGAAAAGAACAAAGAATCGGAGAATCTTTACATATCTGATAATTTAGCAGGTAAAAAACTTTCATCGTTGCAGGAGGTTTTTGAAAATAAAACGATTTTTCAATGTTTTTTTCGAAAGAAAAACCACCACACCCACACACATAATTAACATTATTGTGACGCAATTAACATTATTTGATATATAAAACAATTAAGCACATGAAAGGTAAAGATGTAACAATTTTGACACATTTACTTAAATATGAATTGATATGTGGCTTAACTTTAACAATACCAAGTGAAATCATATAACCTTGAAAGAAAAAAAAAATGTGGAAAAAACAAATCATGCTCTAAATATTTAACATGTTAAAGGTCTTCTTGAAAAAAAGTATAGATTTGTTTTGCTCACCAACTGTCATTCAAACCCTTGGTCTTATTTATAAAAAATTATTACTAAAATTTTTTAACAGGATAGAACAGAAAACCAGAGAATTTTTACATATCTAATATTTTAGAAGGTAAAAAACTTTTATCTGGTTGTAGTTTTTTCATTTTTATAAATGGTTCTTCAGTTTTTTTTTTTTTTTTTTTTTTTTTTTTTTTTTTTTTTTTTTTGGGTAAAGAAATCGACTTTTCAGTGATTTTGTCAAAAAATATATATATATATGTTTTGTTGTAGTTTATAACATTTTGAAAGCCTTGTTCGAAAAAAAAAATGTTGAAAGTGTAGATTAGTTTTGCCTCACCTACTTACATCAAGTCGTTAAGTATGAGTACTTAGAGTCATACCAACTCTTTTACTCAAATGTAAGTTCAAAACTATGGTAAATCTTAGAAAAGGCCTTAAAGCATTATTTATGATTGGATTTCAATTCAAGAATTTTAAAATTAAAAACAAATTTGTATTAGTAAAATTGATATCTATTTATTATTACATTTATATACTATGTGAAATTCAATAAAATGGAAAAAAATCCATAAATGACGCGTGAAAAAAAATATTTAAAATAATCCCAAAATGACATGTAACAAAATGAATAAAAATGTGACATGTGGAAAAATAAATGAGAATATAACATGTGTCATTTTTTTTATTATAGTAGATTATGCATAACTTAATATGCATACACATATTGAGAAATCAAATATCATCCTGTTTTTCTTCTTAATTATCCTCTTACCATATGAAATGATGACAAAAGTTTTAAAATATTATTAATTTTATCAAAATATGACACTATCATTATATATATATATATATATATATATATATATATATATATATATATATATATATATATATATATATATATATATATAGTTTAGAGTTAAATTCTATATACCTTTTAAATTAAATTACATAAATAATTCAAATGGAATTATGGTCACTAGTCACAAACACCAAAACGAGCATATGGTATGCAACAAGGTGGAGCAAGAAGAATGTATTTTCTAATTGTTTGATTCCAAAGAACAAGCGTCCGAGTTATTGGATCACGAACAAAGTCGTACAAGCACACCAAGCCATGAGAGATAACAACTATGCTTGAAAAATCAAATTGTTTCACAAGCTAAGGAAAAGTTGGAACCGACCTATGTTTGGGGAGAGTCTTGTCATCTACAAGACAAAAATACTTCACCTCTTCTCATGGATCTTCATAATATACAAGCAGATATTGCTGTTGAGTGTAGTGGATGGGAGCAACAATAAACACAAAGCTCTCGATCAAAGACTTCCATGCTTTTGAGATGCATCTGAACTGAATCGGTGATTTTATTGGAAGCCTTTTCATGATTTCCTCTTGAATATGCAAATGTATTCCTTAGTATTCCGACATTTTGATTGTTCCTGGTAGAGATAAAATAATTGGCGAGACAGATTGTTTAGATTTTAGGGCTCCTTTTCAATCCATTATAAAACCACAATAAAACTGGGGATGGGATTTAAAACCGGAACCGTTAGAACCAAAATAGGTAAAACCGGTCTGGGTTCTTGGTCTAAAGAATGGGTTTATTAGGGTTCCGGATAATCCAAGTTTGGGTCCGTCGGGTCCGGGTACACCGGGTTTAAAAACTGGAACTGGTGTTAGGATTCGGAACCACTTTTAGGGACCGGAACCGGTTTTTATGAAAAAATTAAAACATACATATTTCATTTGTTTGAAGTCGGATCGACATGTTTTTTTTTCCAGCATGTAGTTTAGAGTTTATACATGATTTTTGACTATAAATCTGTCATTTTTAGTTTTATATTCATTGATTTATTGTCCCCAAAGGCAAGATATCAAAGCTACAAATTTTCAGTTTTTCAGCTATTTTTGTATTTTGTAAAAATATTAAAAACATATCTAATTTGTTTGAAGTTGGATCGACATGAAGTATTTTCCAACTTGTAGTTTAGAGTTTGTACATGAGTTTAGACTATAATTTTGTCATTTTTTGGTTTAATATTCAATGACTTACAGTCCCCCGATGTCGGGATGTCAAAACTGAAAGTTACAGTTTTTCAGCTCTTTTTATATTTTGTGAAAATGTTAAAACATACAATATCTAATTCGTTTGAAGTCGGATTGTCATGAGTTTTTTTTTCCAACTTGTAGTTTAGAGTTTTTAGATGAGATTAGACTATAATTTTGTCATTTTTGGTTTAATATTCAATGACTTACAGTCCCCCAAAGTCGAGATATCAAAGTTGAAAACTTTCAACTTTCAACTTTTCAACTGTTTGTTTTTATACTTTGTATTATGTGAAAATTTTAAAACATCTATATCTCATTTGTTTAAAGTCGTATTAATATGTGATTTTTTTAGAGTTTGTATATGATTTTAGGCTATAAATTTCTCAATATTGGTTTCAACTTCAATGACTTACAGTCCCCGAAGTTGGGAAATCATTATAGAAATTTTCAAAGTCTAACACACTAGGTAATTACCAAAAAATTCCGGATTTTATGGGTTTTTCCGGTTCTAAACCCACTTTATCCGGTTCCACCCTATCCACTTTGATGTTTTCGGGTTTTTCAGTTCTAGACCCACTTTACCCGATATCATATATGGAACCGAACCAGAATCGGTTCCTATATACCGGTACGGTTTCCGATCCTACAAAATCCTGTTAACCGGTTTTGGATTTTCTGTGTCCGGGTTCATCCGGTCCAGGTGTGGACTCACTTTCACCCATAATAAAAACTCTATTAGGGACCGGTATTGTTACTCCCAAAATGTTTTGAACCAAAATGAGTTTTTTTTTACAAAACATAGGGACCATTTTTGTACTTTAATTAAAAAAATACATTGTTTATTTTATATTTTTGCGTTTTTTTATTTTCGCACGGACTGAGTGTAGACGTGGAGAGAGACAAAAATGGAGGCTTTCAATTGAAATCTCTTGGACTGCAACGAAGAGTTCAAGCTCTCCAGTCGTTTCCTACCGACTGGATTAGAAAGAGAGAGAAATGGGGGATCTGTATGCGTTGGATTTCGATGGAGTTCTATGTGATAGCTGCGGAGAGAGCTCGATTTCTGCTGTTAAGGTATCTCCTTCTAATTCACACACACACGTCTTCGGTAATTTGAGCTTTTTGTGTAAACGTATATGTAAATCGGTAGAATTGAAGGATTGAATTGGTTCGACTGACTGATACAGGCAGCTAAACTGAGATGGCCTGAATTGTTTGTTACGGTGGATTCATCAATGGAGGATTGGATTGTTGATCAGATGCACATAGTATGTTTTCTCTTCGTTACGTGTTTATGATTTGTACCGATTATTTTGTAATTTTTCTGGAAATTAGGTTGTTTTAGCCTGTAACTTTAGTGTGGTTAAACAATGTTACATAGAAACCGAAAAGGGATGTATGCCTGAGAATCAAAGATTAATCGGATTGCTGTTGCACTTATTTATTAGTTATTGAGGATATGTTAGATGTTATTGTGAGGAATTTGTAACAAAGTTAGAAAGTTATTGGAAAATTTAGTGTTGGATTCTTATGATTGAATGATGTAATAAGTTCAATTGGTGAGGTTTTCAACCATACTTGACTCATTGAGGTCAATGTTTAGGCCAATTAAGTGATGTTGAATTCCATCAAACACCCATTGTGCAATTAGAACTTGCTCCTTTTTATTTTAAAGTTTGAAGTATTGACTTGATATTACCGCTAAAATATTACACCTTTCACCTACAATTGTATCTCAGATAAATTTGTGTATTTGTGGCAGGTGCGGCCTGTAGTGGAAACTGGATATGAGAACCTGTTACTTGTGAGATTGCTTCTGGAGATTAAGATCCCATCATTGCGAAAGTCATCAGTGTGTATATAAATAACAAAGTTTTACCATATTAATATTACCTAATGGTTTGATAGTGTGTTTTAAACATGATTATTTTTCATTTAATGTGCAAGGTGGCTGAAGGGCTCACAATTGATGGAATATTGGAAAACTGGTCAAAGATAAAACCAGTAATAATGGATGAATGGAGTGAAAACAGAGACCCCCTTGTAGATCTGTTTGGAAAAGTTAGGGATGAATGGATTGAGAATGACTTGGCCACCTGGATTGGAGCTAACAGGTGAATTATGAGTTTGTGCTTAAATTAAAATTCATATTTTATCAACATAATTTTGTTTGTAGATAATAAAGTTATGAAGTGTGGTGTCATTTTTATTTCCTTTATAGGTTTTATCCAGGTGTTCCTGATGCATTGAAGTTTGCCAGTTCACAAGTCTATATAGTTACCACAAAACAAGTACCCTCCTTTTTTCACGTTTTGATGGTTTTTGAAGGGCATTTTGGTCATACTAATATTACATAGTAAATTTTGTAACTTTTTCAGGGTCGTTTTGCTGAAGCGTTATTGCGGGAACTTGCTGGAGTTACGTTACCACCTGAAAGAATATATGGCCTTGGAACTGGGTGAGTGTCTTTACTAAGTGAACCTGTAAAAAATTAAATAGTTTTGATTCTTTAACCAAATTCTGTTTTTTTTTTTTTTTTTTTTCCAACTTTTAAAATTAGTCCAAAAGTAGAAGTGCTGAAGATGCTTCAAAAGCAACCTGAACACCAAGGTCTCACCCTACAGTAAGTCACCAAATGGCAAACAACTTTGTGCTAATTTCTAATTTGGTCCCTGGAGTTTGAAAATCACCAAGAACATCCACAAACTTTGCAAAAAGTTTCGTTTAGGATTAGACTAAGTTACGCTAACCGAAACCACTTGCAAAGTTGAAGCCTCTTCTTGGTGATTCTCATATTTATGTGATCAGATTTTGGAAAAAGTTGGTTGTCCTACTCTGCACTTAACACTTTATTCATGTAATTTGAAAATTTATGATTTATATTTATCTTTTTCTTTTCTAATCTCTCCTTGTTTTTACCAGCTTCGTGGAAGATCGACTAGCAACATTAAAAAATGTCATCAAAGAACCGGAGTTAAATGGATGGAACTTGTATCTAGGTAACAACACCTCAAAACTTCCCTCTATTTTCTTTTCCTTAGAAATGGAGCAAATATAGCAACCTTCTTTAATCTCCATACCAATATTGATAAAAAAAAAATGTAACTAATAGCAATTATGGGTAAACAGTAAAGTACAATGCCTATATTAGCAAAAAAAAACAAAAGTAAAGTACGTTGATATTTCCTTCCATTTTCTCTTAATTTTTTTTCATCTACATAGATAATTCAGATTTATCTATGTTTTTATTGAATATATTAGAAAGTGGTATGTTCTATTTCTTTTTGTATGCGAGAATTAAAAATAAGTGTACAAATATTTTTACACAGGTGACTGGGGTTACAACACTCAGAAAGAGAGGGAGGAAGCTGCCACTTATTCTAGGATTCATCTGCTTCAGCTTTCTGATTTCAGCAAGAAGTTAAAATGAATGTGTTTTTCCAAAACATCTTTGTAACATCAATACAACTGGTAACATTTTTATTTTCTAATGTTTTTTTTTTTAATCTTAATAGATTTTTTCTAAATATTTTTGGAACAAACTTAAATCTTAATAAATTGAGAATTATGGCTTTTACAATTGGTTTTATCATGTAATTGGAAAAGAATCGTTGGCAGCCATTTATTCCATGTATAATAGTATCCATTATGCACCATGTTTGACCAATTAACGTTTACATTTTGATTTCAATTTTATGCAACCAAAATTTTTTTTTCTTTCAAAACTTGAATATTTCCAAATCAGTAAAAACGCGATAACCAAAATTATATGGGCGTAATGTATTTGCTGAAACTGAAAACATGATCTCACATATATAAAAAAAACAAAATAAATAAAAACAAACAAAAGGGAAAGCCAAGGCAACTAGTCCACAACGTTTGGAATAAAACCCAAACCCGATTAGTGAATTAATCATATTAAGAACCATAACAATCTTTACAATATCTAGTTCCATTTCCAGGAACAACGATTTGCATGTAACTTGTACAAAAAAACTAATTTAGATCTATATACTAAAACTAAAAACCAAACTCGAAGATAGATATCATCACATCAAACTCCATCAATTAATAGATTTATTGGTAGAATTGACCATGGTGTATGACAGATTTTGTGAAAGAAAAGTAATATGAATCAATATGTGCATTGGGTGGAAATTGTGTGATGGCTATATTACAGTTATACATACATGTGGTCCATAATTGGCAGCAATACTTTACATCAGGCCCACTGTTCCATTATACACTTGACACGCTACCATGTTATACTCGTAGTTACAAACGACCATTAACAGGTGACCAAAAAAAACCATGATTTCAAATGACGACCATTTTGCCCTTGATTACGCTTATTTTTATGCAGTTTGAGGAAGAATGAGTTGGCTGATTGGCAGCAACAACCTTATTCATTGTACCCTTAGGTTATACCATTTTAAAAGTAACATGTGGATAGTTGCCAGCTACTATTTGATCGGTTTCACACGTCGAGCACTATATCCCCTTCACAGAAAACTGTCAAAATGGAAACAAATATTGACAAAATCGGTGTAAAGATAACCAAATTAGATGCAGCAAAAGGAAAGGAAACCATTTAGAAAGACAATGACCAAAGCAAGAGAGTAGCCACATAGAAAATGAAAGCAAGATAAATTACCAAGTAAGATGTGGGAGATGGGTGTGAATGAGCAGGCGGAAAATGCGGTATTGGGGACGGAGAGAGCACAAGGGAAAGAAGGAGAAGTAAGAGGGAAGATGATAAGAGAGGGTTATAGTCGAGGCTTTGAAGAAGTGTCTCTGTGTCTGTATAAGTAACATGAAGCACATGATGGAATCTTGTGGTAGATTGTACATTGCACATCGTAAACAAGACCTTTAGCTACAGTAACTTTGTCTCAAAGACAAAGTTACATTTTAGTATATATAGTGGTAATTGAGCCCACGCTTTGTAGCGAGTTTTTATGTATTTTTGTTGCGTATTAGAGGGAACTTATTTGCAAAGTTGAAAGTTTAGAGTCAAATTAACATTTAAAAAAAAGGGTGGAAAATATAGTTTACAAAGTAGGGGAGGAAAAATCGTATTATATATACTATAGGACAAACACGAAAGTTTAGAAAATGAAGGGGCGAAAATGATGTTTTACAAAATTGAAGGTGGAGGGTGAAAGTGATGGATTACACAAAGTTAAGGATTGAAATTGTAATTCACTTATTAACTTACTAGTGTGTTATGCATTTTAGCTTGTACATCCTAATTTGAATAGTGCCTTAGTAATATATTTTTTCTAGAAAAAATTGTTAGCTTAAATCGTAATTAATTGTTTAGGTTATATTACATGGCAAATATTTTCTCATATAAGTAGTACTTAAAAGTGATGGGATTTAATAATAATTAAAAAAAAAACCAAACAAACAAATTTCTGTAACATCCCCTTCTGACACGTATCATAATATTGTCTGCTTTGGGCCACTCGGTACGAGGACTTCTCAGGGGGTCACCTATCCTGGTACTACTCCCACCCGATGCTTAACTGCAGAGTTCTTATGGGATTTGCTGCCCCAACGGCTTTAAAACATATTGTAACAAGAAAGGTATCCACACCACTTTTAAGGTAATGCTTCGTTCTCCTTCCAAGCCGATGTAGGATAAGGTGTAACCTAAGGTGGGTTACACCTGATCCCACATCGGTTTGGAAGGAGAATGAAACATTACCTTATAAGTGGTGTGGATACGTTCCTTGTCACAGCGCGTTTTAAAGCCGTGAGGGCAACAGATCTCATAAAAACCCTGCGGACAATATTATGATATGTGCCAAAAGGGAATGTAACAATTTCGGCTAACTTATCTAAAAAAATGTTATAGTACTTAGTTTTTTTTATTTTATTTTATTATTTTTTTTAAGCATGTGGTAGATTGTACATTGTGTATTGTAAACAAGACCTTTAGCTACAGTAACTCTGTCTCAAAGGCACTATATACCAATAATTGAGTTTGCACTTAGCAACGAGTTTTTACGTGTTTTTATTGTACAATAGGAGTGAAAATTGATCTACAAAGTTGACAGTTGAGAGAGTCAAAGTAACATTTTAAAAAAGAGAAGGGTGAAAAATATATTTTACAAAATAAATGAGAGAAAATCGCATTATATATAGTACAAGACAAACACGAAAGTTCAAAAAACGAAGGGGTGAAAATGATGTTTTACAAGCTCTTTGGAAAAAAAAAATGATGTTTTACAAAATTGAAGATAGAGGGATGAAAGTGACATTTTAAAAAAGTATAGGGACAAAAAATATCCTTTTATAAAATAGAAGGCTTGAAAGTGAGGAATTACATAGTTAAGGGATTGAAATTGTAATTCACGTATTAACATCCTTGTATGCATTTAGCTTGTAAATCCTATTCAGAATAGGTCGTAACATCATAAAAATCACAATAAATTTAAACTTTTTAAAACAACCCCAAATCATATAATGTTTACAAAATTATTGTTTTCAAAATATTAGAGTATCTCATAGATTAAAAGTACATAAAAACGAGGATGTATACGGTCACGCATTCGTCTTCCCGCGATTATCTGAAGTACCTGAAATCACAACTAAAAACCGTAAGTCAAAACTTAGTAAGTTTCCCCCAAAATAACAACACACAAACCGATAACATATATAACAACATGTCGGGTCCAATCAACCATCAGGTTGGAATACCTCGGGCTCAATCAACCTCGGGGTCCAGTCATCCTCGGGATGGAATACCCCAGGTTGGAATGCCAATATCAAGGTTTTAAATGGCATGAGACGTGATGTGGCGGCAATGTCAAACATCAAGCTTAACGAGCCATGATGTTTTTCAATGTGTGATGTAAGACGGTGATTTTGTATTAATTTATAGTTATATTATCATATAAATATTGATTTATTTCAAATACAACTACTTTTTAGAAGTGTTATATCAATAACTAATAACAAAAAACACAATACGTGTATGCCCGATTAGAAGACATAACAAAGAGCAAAAAAGTTATCTCAAACGAAAAAACACACCACAACGCGCAATGACACGCCATATCACGCCTTGCGACGCGTCATGCCTAACAACAACGTTATGAGACTTTTCGTAACGGCAAAGTCACGCCTTACGCCATCACACGCCTTTTAGAACACCGGCCAAAATACAATGGGTCCAGTCAACCATCGGGTAGGAATACAAATATACAATGGATCCGGTCATCCTCGGGATGGAATACCCTTGGGCCCAATCAACCATCGGGTTGAAATAGTATTGGACGAGCAGGCCGGCAAGGTGGCAATGAAAGCGGATAAGAAGGGAAGAGAAGAATGAGAAAAGGAAATCGTCATTATGGCGTTAGAATGAAAATTAGAAGTTCCGTGGCAAAAGATAAAAGAGAAATAAGTCCACTGCAACTAAATATGCAACTAAATATGCAACTAAATATTTTAAAAACTTATAGTATATACTAATGCCTAATGGCCCATGCAATACTCCGATAGTAATGTAAAAAAACTTACAGTATATACTAATGCCTAATGGCCCATGCAATACTCCGATAGTAATGTAATGATGGTTTGTTTTGTTTTTCATTAACTCTATTAGTATGTTTCATGTCTACATATGTTTTATGTAATTGGACTTATTTATAAAGGTAGGTTTTATCATACTAATAAAGTGTATGTATTTATAAACAAGCATTGAATTTATTATTATCTTTTATTGCGAATTTTGTGAGTTTTTGATTTTCAGAAGAAAAAAAATGGTTGAAATGGACTTTTTAGTTTTGATTGATTCATATTTAACGGATACCCGTGAACCGTACCGTGGTTATTCGCCTTCATACGGTTCGGTTCGGTTAAGGGTTTTTAGCAATTCGGTTCGGTTTCGGTTAATGCATACAAGGAATCCACCCCGCTATCACGGTTAACAATTTTATTAATATCCGATCCGAACCGCCCAGTGAACACCCCTATCAAGTGATTATGTCTGATGCGATCAAACTTAAATTTAAATCGTTTGGTGTCATGATTTTTTTTTTTATTCGGTCTTACACCCTTTTATTGGTCTTGGACATAAACAAGGCCGACTCAATTAGATCTATCTAGATTATCATCCCCTTATTCCGCTTAAGTAGAGGTGCACAAAAGAATCGGTTTTTTTAACCCAAAAAAATAACCTGATTTTTTTTATAGTTTTTCGAGAACCAGTTAGGTTAAAACCAAATCGCCGGTTAGGAATAGGTTTTAATAAATATTTGAACAGATTTTTGTACTATAACAATAACAGAGCAGTTTTTTTAAACTCAATTTCACTTCAAAATAATTGAAAAAACTGAACCGGATATAACAGAAAAAACCGGACCGGTTTGTGCACCTCTAGTGCACATTAGCCTGTTTCTGTTTTTCTAAACACCAGTTCGGTTTTTAACCATTTTTTTTAATGTCAGTTTCTATTAAAAACATAACCGGTTTTCTGAAAATCAATTTCAGTTAAAAACGTTTTTATCCTGTCTGAACCTTTTTTTTTTTAAGTATCTAATAAAAGGATCCAAAAAACTAGTTTATTTGTGTATTATATGCAACAAATAACAATATACTTTCATTAGTTTGCATAATATAGCATACTAATTTCATTCTTCCTATTATATTCAAATTCCTCTTAATGCAAAATATTATGCATTATTATGCAAACTAATGAAAGTAAATTGTTATTTTTTTTGCATATAATTAATATATATATATATATATATATATATATATATATATATATATATATATATATATATATATATTATATATATATAGCAAACTAAGGAGTACTAACGGGGAGTGAACACAGTAGGTGTTGATGGGTATGTTGACTCCCATGCCCAAAACATGCTTATTAGACAAATGATCTCTATATGTACAATAGAGCTGGCTGGTAAAGGAGAGCAGATTGAGTGAGCTAGGTAACTGATGAAATCAGTTCAAATTAATTAAAGTAGGTAGATTTTTTGTAAAAGTGGAAATGGGTTTTCTACATTTGGGTCGAATCAAAACAGTTTCTATCCAACTTTTGGGGGTGCTCTTAATAACTAGTGCTTCATATGACTGTAAAAACTATAAAATAATCTAATTCTTCCAATATAGGCCATATTACTTGTAATAACAACACACTTGTATTTCTTTACAGATAATAGCAATTTACTTTCTTTTTACCTATAATAACAATGCACTTATATTTTGCTATCAATAATATGGTGATTGTACTTTATGTGTTACATAGTGCTATTATCGTTTAAGAAATGTAAGTGTGTTGCATTTATGAGTAAAGAATTGTAAGTACATTGCTACTATGTGTAGAGAAAATGCAAGTACTTTGCTATTATGAGATACATATTGCTATGATTCGTAAAAGTTTAAGTATGTTGTTTATGTAAATAACTATTACAGCAAAAGCAGCGTTTCCATGTAGGAATTCACATTGAAGGAAAAAGGATATACAGAAATCTCAAGAAAATTGTTGTGTTCAGAATTGGGCTCAAAAACAACAAGTCTAGGTGGTTCATCATCATCATCGTCATCATACGTCACTTGAATTATAGGTATGCCATTTTTCCTAAATCCCACTATAAAGTCATGCGGTGTCTTTATGTCAAACAACTTTGTAAACAACTTTTGAACACCATGCTCCATCATCCATACAGTACAAATGTCTCCCCCAGGATAGATCTCTCCACTGTATTTAAACATAGCAAGAGAATCCCGTACCTTAGAAATAAAAAAGTTCACAGGATGATGGCGAGCTAAGGTATCCGGAAGATCTACGGATTCAAAAGTCTCATTAGTCACATCAAATGACATAATCATATTATGAGTGCTTGACCCTGCAGAATGCGAATAGATAAACCGATCGGTAACTACCACCGGACCCCAATCTCGAACCGGTTTAGCGGGCAGATCGGTGGATAAATTTCTCCATTTCCCTGAGCTCAAAGTGTAAACCAAAACTTTGAAACGG